CTGTTGCATGTGAAAACTTGGTGTTATGTTTATCCTGTACTGATCCATTACAAGATAACATGTTAATCCTATCTTTCCTGTACTAATACATGTGAAAACTTGGTGTTATGTTTATCCTGTACTGATCCATTACAAGATAACATGTTAATCCTATCTTTCCTGTACTAATACATGTGAAAACTTGGTGTTATGTTTATAACATTGGTTATCCTGTACTGATCCATTACAAGATAACATGTTAACCCTAACTTTCCTGTATTTAGCATCACAATCCTTGCCTTTATACATTTTAACCTCACAATCATATCTGCAGTTATCTTGACATTCTTAGCTGTTGTTTTTTGAGATAATATCCACATTATTCTAGTTTTCCATACATATCCAATAACTCCCGTTGTCTTGTAATATGGACATAGTTGATTTTGTAGTGTAAGATTGAAAATTCCTCATTTCCAGTGTGAAAAGATACTGGTGTAATGTTATTGATATCTATAAATAGTATTCCAATAATAGGGAAGTATGATTAAAGAATATAATGTAACTTTTCATACTTATTTAAGCATGATCAACATTAGTGTCTGTTTTTTAATTAATATAAGTTTTGTCATTTTATATGTATATGTAAAATCTCTCATTTTCTTCACTTCAGCAAAACCGAAATTTGTAAAAGGAATGGAAGACAAAGAAGTGTGGACTGGTGAAGAGAGCTACTTTGAAGTGAAGGTTCTAGGCCATCCTGAACCAACTGTTAAGTGGTAAGAATATTATTGTTTTACTCTAAAACAAGTGTTATCTTTAACCCTAAAATTACTTAAGGGGTCTTTTTAAACATTTATTTTTTGTTGGTTACAATATCCCTAATAACATATGATAGGGTTCACCCAGTTAATGAAAATCCTGGACAGTTAAAAAGTCATGTAAAAACAAATTTTCAGTACTGGAAATCCTTGAAAATGTATGATTTTTGGTTGTAGACAGAGGTACATAGTTCAAATTCCATTACTGATCAGAATTGCCAGGTTGTTATATTACTCATGTTATATGTCACACTTTCTTGACATTGTTTTTCATGAAACTGGGGTAAACACAAAGGCACAAATTGCTGTCTGTACAAATGATAGATATAGGACTGTTGTGGCTGAACTCTCAAGGACTTTTCCAGGACTTCCTAATAGGTGGTGTTGTTGGAATGATATTGTTAACATAAAATAAGCTAAAAACATGTTTGGTGGACATTTAAAAGCATAAAATATTTGTTAGCTCCAGCCAAAGCACAGTGTTTGGGAAATGCAAGGCTTTATTACTTGTTATTAAATTTAATTTGGGAAATTATGGCATAGAAAAGATAGAGAAAGAATTTGGTACCTTGATGGTTTAAGAAAAATGCAACTTTGATGACTGTAGATTCATCTCCAACTTGTTTATTAATTATCCACAATTAATAGTGGGTTAACCCTTTAGCTCAGTTTATAGAGCACTCACTTGGCATCTGGGAGGTCTTGGGTCCGATTCCAAGCCGTAGAATTTACCCCACTTGCATTAGAAAAAAAACAAAATCAACTTGAGAAGGTAACATAAATGTTGTTGGAGAATTTATTGATTTTTTTTATATAATTGTGTTTTAATATTATTCTCAATTTTCCCAAATTAAAGGAAAAGATGTAAAATTTTATAAGGTGGTATAAAATTTACACTTTTTTGATTGAAGTAGTCAAAGTTACACATATTTTAACCAATTGTTAAATGTTGACCTAATTTACAATGTTTAACTATTGTATTGTTAATGACTGTTACATATTCTTAACTTTATTGAGTGATTAATTAATACCTTCCACTTCAATCTCAAAATTCATTTACAATGTAGAGTTTTTGTTTAAAAGCATATAAAAGCTTACTTATAACAGGCTAAAAGAAGGAGAAGAACTTAAGGCATCAGATTATATTACGTTAACATCTGAACATGAAACCTACAAGATAAACATCCAAAATACTCGCTTGGAAGACAGTGGGGTGTATTCCTGCCATGTCAAGAATATGGCTGGAGAGTGTTGCCAAGATGCCATGTTATCAGTCAAAAGTAAGTTTAAAGTACTCTATGTATACTGATTTTTATAATTCTTTTCTATTTTGTAAACCAAATTTATGTTTCTAACTCATTCTTCATTTTTATACAAACTTCTATAATCCAATATATCAGGGTTAATATTCTGCAGGCATAAAATGAATTGATAGGGCTTAATGTTTGGAAGGGTAGTAAAGTAAGTAATATAACAGCATTCAGAAATAAATGTTTGAGTGGGCTCTGATAGTAAATTGTAGAAAGGAAATTTTATGTGTGTCATTTAACAACAAAGTAGCATGCACTTGTGTCAAATTTTGTATTCAGGTTTTTTTCTTATTATGTAGGTGCAGATGATTCTGAAGAACCCGTATTCATTCGCCGTATGGTAGACACCTTTGCTGTTATTGGTGATGCAGCAAGATTTGAAGTTAAAGTCACAGGCAAACCAAAGCCAGAGGTTTCGTGGTGGGTCTAACAAATTAATTATATAACATGAAATAAAAATCTGTTTGCAGTGCTAGTTATGTTGCATAGTTTGAGATTTAGATAGAAATCACATTGTCAGTTGCCTGTCTTATCTAATATCATTAGATACAATCCACTAGTTCAGTTGTTTTTCTAATACTGCTCAATTTTCTGTCTTATCTCTCTCGCTGCAGGCTCAGTTGAATTGGCCAAGTTCATGACCCCAAATTGACCTTTATAGTTCCAAAACATTCCTCCGCTGCCACTTATAGCTATTACTCGACTGCCAGGGTTTCATCTTTGTCCTGATAATCTGGTCTGATTTTTTTTTCACTTGCTCCAGTCTTTTATACCCCACTCAATTGCCCTAGGCAGTACTTATCTCAACCTATGTCAGTGTGTCCTCTATCCTGGTACGGTATATAAGCACCTCATTCATATAATTTTATCACTTTTTCTCAACAAAGCATTTAGACATGGGTTTCTCTATAGAAATGCTGCAATAGATAATGTCCTTGGTTATGATTTTTGTGTCACCTAGTTGATTTCTATACAAATTGTATTTAATAATTCTATTTAAAAGAAAACTTTTGTTTATATGACACACCATTCTCAGGCATGAATGCAGAGGTTGTCTGTGATCTGATTCATTGCGAGATGGAGACATACAATCGGTCCGGGGGTGTCTCTCTGGGGGGGGGGGTTGCTTTTGTGGATGATCCAGGACATTCTGCAGATAATTTGGACTTTCTTTTTTCATGCTTTCATTTAGTAGGTTGGCTTCACAAGAGGCCAATTTGGATCAGCCACCTCCTGCTCCATTTGTTTAGTTAGTCAGTCAGAGTTTGTGATGTTTTTGGGGCTTTCCCTGGTTGCCTTTTAATCTACTCCTTTCTTGATGGCCAAAAGGTCTGAGGGCGACTCTTTAGTTTTTCCTCCTTCATCTGATATTGCTGTTCATGCTAGGATATTTACCTCTCGTTTATGTGATGGGATAGCTATGCCTTAACCCCCACGTTTGCCAGAATTGCATGCTTTGGTTCTACCACTGACAGGAGGACAAATATTTAGATTCCCAGAGACATGTGGGGTTCCAGACTTTGAACTGATTACAATTTTCTCAGATTTGTCTAACCCTCACTACTGTTCTGAAATATTTATCTTAGAGGCTCCTCCACTCGGACAGACCATCAGCACTGCCATCAGTGATTACCCTATGCCAGTGGGGTCAAGATTACAACATTTTCTGTTCATCTGGAATTTCTTCACCACAGTCGATCATTCAGTTCACTTCTCCACCTCCATTATCCTCTCAACTTGTGGTATTTCCAACCCCAAATAGATCTGCAGTGTGGATCTTTGTTCCAAGGCTATCAGAGAGTTGTTGGTCAAGGGGACGGTAAGAGAGAGTCGATTCCACTTTTCTGGGATTTTATTCCTGTTTATTTGTTGGGCCCAAAATGACAAGAGATTGGCATCCGATCATTGATCTTTCTCATCTCAACAAATTCTTAGATCCTCCTGGTTTCACAATGGAGTCCTTTCTCAAATAAGTTTGATGTTGTCAATGCATATCTCCACATTCCCATAGTAAAGTTATCCCACTGCTATCAATGTTTTGTGTACAAGGATCAGTTTCTGCAGTTCAGAGCTCTGCCCATAGGCCTAGCTTTTGCACCATATGTCTTCTGCAGATTCGTAAGAGCTTTTCCTCATCACCTTCGTTTGTTGAGCTGTGCACACACCATTACATGGACAACTGGTTACTTCTGGGACCATCTCATCAGTTGGTGGAACAACACATCCAGATTCTCCTTTCAGAAGCCACTAAGGCTGGCTTTCTTATCAGAGCAGAGAAATCAAAATCTCTTGCCGACTCAATACATTATCCATCTGGGTGTCTTTTTCAACATGTTTTTAAGCCAGGCTTAGCCAACTCCCATCTGGCTCCAGGTAATCATCAATTTATGCACCCATCCCTGAAGTGAGGTATCTGTGAAGAGATGATTCTCGGGATGAGGGGCAGTATATGAACACAGATGATAGTGTTGGTCAGATCAAACAACTACTCGAGATCTAAAATATTGCTCCTGAGTAAGGAGACTGGATGATCCAGTGGATTGTAGTTCATGATCCACTGGTTGCACAGCGACCAATGAAGGAACTGCATGTGTGTTTATCCCAAAGGAGTTAGAGATTCAAGGAATGCCCACATCCCCAAAAGAGAGAGAGAGAACCATCCGTGCAATAGGAGTCAGGAATTCCAGGGTTTATGGATGGACGACGAATCTTCCTTTCATATCAATATTTTAAAACTTCTTGCTGTCCAATGAGCAATGGCAATAGATGCATCCAATCAAGATTGCACAGGATTGCACATCTATGCCTTCCCTTGATTCATCTGTTACCCAGAGTTCTGGCTGTGGTTCGATTCACTCATTATTGAGTGCTGTTGGTAGCCCCAGAATGGCCAGCCCAACCATGTTTTCCTTATCTACAGTATCTTCAAGTGTTCACCTCTGCCATTTCCTCTTTGGCCATCTCTGTTGAAGCAAACTTGACCCAACATCCTACACCAAGACATTTCCAAGCTTAAACGTAATGTATGGAAGTTATGCTGTCCTTCTCATGGCATCAGGGTTTAACTTATAAAGTTGCCTTGTATTTTGTCTCAATTTATCTGTGGACCCATAATAGCCATTTAGCAATGGAAATGGCACACAATAGAAAATTGAACCCACTACATCCAATTGTGCCCACCATATCTTGTTTTAAACCTGTCTTTTTGACAAAGTTCTAACTTCATTTATGATCGCTTTATATAAGGCAGCTTTATCAACTACTTTTCAGTATTCTAAACTTCGGAAAGTATTTGAGTCTCCAGTGCTATCCGGCCTTCTCAACTTGCTTCGAGTTCTTTGTCCCAAAATACTTTTTCAATTGCCTAACTAGGATGTTAGAGTGGTATTACATGCTTTGTCTTGACATCCATTTGAGCCTTTAGCCTCATGTACTATGTATCACCTTTCTCTTAAAATTTATTTTTTGTTGCTGCTGGTATATGGACATAGTAGGTTGGAGTTGTTTGCACTACAGTTGAACAGGAGTCTATCACTACACTTTCATCCTGCTGTACCCTGATAGGTCCTTTCTTCCTAGGACTCTGGTAGCCATAGAAGGGGATAAATCCTTCTCACCAATTCATTTGTCAGCTATTTATTACCTCTACGACCACTCCAACCCCGATTGTTTGTTATGTCCTGTCAGGGCCCTAAGGTGTTATGTGGCTCACACTAACTCCTTTCGAGGTGCAAGAAATCAACTCTTTATTCATTGGGATCCTTAAGTTTCCCGGGATTTATCCCCGATTACCTTGATGAGGTGACTTTACATAATGATCCATATTGCTTATTCTGGCATTTCTTTACAGGCAATGAAACTTCTGCAAGTCACATCTCATCAGATTTGTCACATTTCTATGTCCTTTGCTGGAGGACGTGCAGGCTGGTATATGGACTTCTCTCAATACTTTTCTCTCACATCATTTACACGATCTGGCAGTTTCTTCTTCAGGGGTTTTTCGCCTAACTCCTATGTGTGTTTTGACCACATCTGCTAGATTATAAGGAGGGGTGAGTTTTTGTTGTTTTTTTTTTCATCCTCTTGTCTCTTTACTTTCCAGGGTCCTTTACCTCTTTTTTTTTCACTGGATCCCACTATACTTACTACTGGTTGCAACAGGCTCTGTAGAAATAAGTTGTACCATAAGAACATCTAGGAGATCTCCAGATGGTATTAACATATTATGCTGGACTGCCACTCATAGACTATCATAAGTAAATTTAAAGGGGATTCTGACCCTCCATACCGATTATTAGATTGAATAAATCAGGATCAGTTTGCTTTTAAAAATTTAGGGAACTTGGTTTACCTATTGCACTGTTCCTCAGGACTCCCCAATGTGCATTAACCCTTACATTTTACTAGTGGAGCTAGGAACTCCTTAACACACCAAGTTTCCAGTCACTGGGATGATGGACAGAGGCTTTTCCTTCAATGTTTGAGTGAATTCCTCCACTGAGTTGGGGACTCTCCTACCCGGGTCCCTGGATGTTTTTCCCAGATGTCTATAGGCATGGCACTAATCAACGTGGGAGCATACTCATAATACCAGTTCAGATTTGATGCTCGGCTAACCGGTTGGGGTGTACATGACCCTTCATTTTTATTAATATCGTTTCAGTATATTATTCATGGAAGCAGGTCCACTAACTCCTCGTAATTCCAAATGCAGAGTGGTCCCAATATGTGTCCTTGGTTGAGCACAGTTTGTTCCATTTCCTCCTCATAATTCCAGGGGCAAGTGGAAGACTCTTTTGCCCACTTGGTTGGGGAGTGAGGAAGACGTTTCATAATTCCAGACTGGATGAGTTCTGTTCCTTTGGTTGAGTAAGGCATACACGATCCCATCATTCCGAGCCTGGGATGTTGCCTTTCGGGCTTGATCAGATGGAGGAGAAGGGTTGTCTGCTTAGTTGTTGCTTACCTTCTTGTCATGATTCCGGTGGTTTGGAATGCATACACTATGTGACTGTAGGTTGGGATCCAATCAAAAGTATGTCTATATATAACGCCGTTGTGGTCCAATTGCCCTAGCCACCAATGTCGATGACACTTAACCCTACTTTTTATATTAATGGTATTACTGCAGTAAATAAATTTTTTAAATTAAATAATGCATCAAGGAACACAGAATAATAATATGAAAAAAGCAGACATTATCCTATAACTATCACAATTTTTCTGGCTTTCTACCTATGCAATAAGAGCTGTTAAAAATTCAGCTAAGCTCATTGATGTGTCTCCTGTGGGAATAAAGTTTGAAATGGAAGCGAAATAGACAATTCTATGTACAAAAAACAATGTAATATAACAAATCATTTGGTATATTAAAACCTTGGCTTTCTGCTGATGATAAATAATTTACTATTAAACATCAGAGAGAAATATGTGAAGTAGAGGATGTGACAGTTTATGGCTCTGTAACCAAATAAGATTGAAGGCTGTAAAAATTATGCTTTGCCCAAGTGATGACAACATTGTAATGAATAATTTATGTTAAATTTTGTACTTCTCAGAGGGGAGATTAGAGAAGAAGAGATGCATAGAGAGGAAATGTCATAATTGTCTTATTAGGGGAAATTGAGGATTTTTGTAAAAACATTTCCTTTTAAAATAAGAACTTAAAACATATAATATTAAAATTTTGATTATTAGCTACATTTTGATGCCTGGTTTATTCTTATACCATGATAATAAAGTACTTTAAATTTTGAATGTAACATACTAAAACCTCATGACATGAAGAAAAGAATGCCCATAGTGAAACAGTTATTTGATAACTTGAAAGATTATCTGAAAAGCACGTGCTCTGTTGCCTCCTAATGGAAAAGTGGTAAGAGGGAAGACCTATAATGCTATAAATCAGGTTTCAACACCCGAGTGGGCACAGTACAGCCCATTGTGTAGCTTTGTGCTTAACAACAAACAAATAAATATTACTGTTACTGTGTGTGTGGATTGATATTTGCATGTATTATTATAGAACATTAAACTAATAATTGTAAGTTTTATTATAATTTTATCCATATGTGGATTTTATATTTTTCACATTCATTCACTGTGTAGTTTTATTTTTCTTTGTCATTAAATATAATCTATTATGAAGTAATTGTTTTTATAGTTACCTTTTAATTTCAGTCAAACTATGTAGATACTGTTATAATTTGTAATGCATCAACTTAAACTGGATTTTAGGCATTACTTTATTGGAACTGATATGAGGGTTTTTGTTTGAAATAATACTGAACGAATATGAAGTAAGGCTTCAATACTTCAGAGATGATACCTCACCAACCAAACAGAATAGCTTGATCCCTTGAACTAACTCTCACCTACGAATCACATGTTTAATGTGAATTGTAATAGTGCGTGATGATATGATCATGCAACAATAGCCCTCCATCAATTAGAAGGTGACAAAACCTTCTTGCGCAGTAACTCCCATCAAGCAATTGCACTCGAAATAACTTTATTCTTTTTCTCGGCATTGTCTCGAATGGATGTGTTTTAAACTTATTAACTAATAATGTGAGATTTGAGATAGTTTACAGAACTTGAATTTAATTCAAGTTTAACTGTTTTTATCTTTACAAAAGATCAAAAAACATTTTTTTTCCTTACTACCCATTGGGAATTCTAAAATGGTGGTAGTTTCTACGTCATCCTGTAATGATGATGATGTTACTAACATGGGATTTGTGGCTACTGAAGGCTCTATAGCTTCTACTTCACTTTCAGTTTCTGGTGCCCAATTTTCACACTTTCATCTCTTGTTTATCATCTTCCTACATTTACCTCTCTTCCCTTCACATTATTTTTGAGGCACTTCATCGTGCTCCTGAAGGGTTTTCTGGAAATGTTCATTCTCTTCTTTTCACCACTTTAGCCCGTACTGCTTCATCTGCTCTGTTCCTTCTTGTTTTCTCTGCTGTTTGGACTAGTTTGGTTGGGATGCTGTCCTAAATAATGTTTGCCTGCCTCATTCTTAGCTCTGTGTTCTTCGTCTGGCTCCTGTTTTTTCCCTGGAGGTCTTCATTGGTGTTCCTGACTCTCTGGAGTCCCAGGCCTTTGTCCTCATTGTCTTCTTTGGTTTCTCATGTTTCTCAACTACACCATTCTGTTCCTAGGCCTGCTCAGTACATGTCTCAATTTCACATTCTTCTTCTTTCTGTCTTCCCACTTCACAACATCATTGTTGACAAGTCTGACCCAGTGGGTGCCCATCTGTACCACTTCCCCAGCCTTTGGTCTCCATTTTTAGCTGACAACCTTCATCTCTTCTCCTGTGAAAAATGGAATGTCTTGTCACCAAGATTTGCATTTCTCATTTACACACTGCGTAAAAGTTTTTTCACTTTTAGGGGCTCTGGTTTCACTAGAACCACTCATTCCTATAGGCCGCACACACATGTACCTCTCCAGTGGACATTGCTATGGATCTGTCATTTTCGGCTCATTCTCATTGGGTACATTTCATAGCTTGTCATGTACTGGGGACTCTAAACCTGGTGCCGGACTGCCTCTCTCAGTCAGACTTGATTCAACCTAGGGAGGGCTATCTCTACTCTCAGGTTTTTGTTGGGTTTTCTCTAAGATGGGCATGCCCATCATCAGTGCATTTGCCACTCATATCAACACCAAACTTCCACCCTTCTTTTCCCCAGTTCTTTACCCTTCAGCCGTGGCAGTTGTTACTTTCATCCAGAACTGGTCTAATTTTTTCTGTGTTTCTATCTTCCTCTTTATATCCTTCCTTGTGTCCTCACCTTAATCCATGACACTCCTTGTCAGGTTCTGTTGGTAACGCCTATTTGGCCTGCACAGCTCTGGTTTCTTTTACTTCATCAATTGGCATCCACCCCCTCTCTTCCTCTTCCTCTCTCTCTCTTGCTCCAACCTCACACATCTCTTTTTTCACCCAGAGTATTGTCCATTTATATCCACATATGGGATGTGTCAGGTCCATAATCTGCAAGACCACTCATTTCCTCCAAACCATCCTACTATGGTCCACCTTTTGGCATGGTTATTTGACCATGGAGTATTGGTTTCCACCATAGCTGGTTATCGGGTGGCTATGTCAACTGGGTTTGGCCTTTCCCATTACTCCTGGGTGTTTTCTTTCTCTTTCTTCTCCACTTTGCTCGGATCATTCTTCATTGACTCCCTGCTCTGCATCCCATGCCTGACTGAAACCTGAATGGGCTCTGTTTTAGCCATTGGCTTCCTGTTCTTTATACCATCTTTCTCTGAAGACATACTTTCTTCTTCTTGCTTTCGCTCACTATCATTTGTATATAAATGTCATTGATGCTTTCTGCATTATATTTTACCATACATATTTACTCCTCTACTCAGACCAGGCTTTTCATTCCTCAAACAGCTAGTGTGCTTTAAAACTGCAGTGGGACAGGTTCATCACCCCCATTTGTGCAGGTGCTTAGTTGGTCATGCACAGAATTCTGCCCATCTCTGCGACTCTTGGGGCTCTTTTGCCTTTCCAATTCTTTCTTCTGAAAGAAGAGTATACCCTGGTTGAGACAAAATGTGATCTCCCACAGGTGTTCCCCTATGGAGCCATCGGGTATCACACTCCATGGGTTTTCAGTTTGTGCTCTTTTGGAAGAGAGATCATCTGGATTTAATGTTTGCTCCTCCACCATTTCTAGTGTGTGTGGAGATGATATATTAAAAGGTTAACTTTTGAGACCCCATACCTTCTCACCCTACCTTCCCATTTCCAGTGTGGAATTCTAGTGTGTGTGGAGATGAGATATTTTCTCAAAAGTTAACCTTTTCCATACCTTCTCACCCGACCTTCCCATTTCCAGTGCACTTTCTTCTTGCTTTTTCTAAGAATGAAGCTATTTTGAGCACATGAACTTAAGGAGAGTTACTGCACAAGGAGGTTGTGTCACCCTCCTTTGGATGGAGGGATATTATCGCATGATGATGTCATCATTCACTAGCACAGTTAATACATATTAAACACAGTGGGTGTTAGGTCAAGGTTTTACAGGTGGATATGTAGAAATCAAGCCATACTGTGTGTGGAGGTATCCATCGGAAATACATTTTCAGGTAAGGAAAGTGTTAACATTTACATCCTTATCTTTATTTTCAAAATATTTATTGTTTCTTATTTGATTTAAAAGGTTTAAAGATGGAGAACAGTTATCAGCAGATGAGAGAATAAAGATTTCTTCTGATGTTGAGGATAATTACTATATCCTCACTATTAACAATTTAGCATTGGAAGACAGTGGGAAATACTCATGTACTGCATTCAGTGATAAAGGTTCAGCAAGTGATAAAGCAACAATGACTGTAATGGGTATGTAGAGAATTACTTATATAAACAACTACAATTTTGATCAACTAAAAACATATTTGTTTTTGAGATTATTAGGATTAGTGCAGTAAGAGGTATAATAACTGCATTTCACAAGTTTCATATGGGAAGAATTTTTGAGAAACTTAGTAATGCATCTAACATTCATAATGGAAATTATACTAGTTAATCCAAGGTGCCATGTAAAAGACTTGTTAAAAAATTATCTATGCATGTGTGGGAGATAGGTCAGCACATTGGATAGAAAACTGACTAGATGGAAGAAAGCAAAATGTTATTATAAACATAGTTCAGTAAAAAAAATTAAAGATAAATAATAAGGATTTCTTCAAATATACTAAGGGTTAAAAACAATTTTAGGATGAAAGTAGGCCTCTGAAGGATGGCAGGAGAAGGCTAACATCCGATGATTATGGGATAGTTGGGGTATTAAATTCTAATTTTTGTTTAGTTTTTTATTAATGAAGATTTCAACAATAATCCTCAACCTGTACAGTTGCTAGATGGAAACAAGAATGAAAAAGGTGATTGCATTATTTCTGAGCTTGTTAAGAAAAAATTGGGAAATTTAAAGAATGATAAAAACATCTGAGCCAGATTATATTTACCCAAGGGTTTTGAAAATGCTTAAAAAAGATTGGATATATGAGCCACTAGCTTTTTTTTTTCTTCTTCTTCTTAAGTCCTTGAATAGTGGGCATGTGTTAGATGTTTGGAAGTTGGCTAATGTTACTCCTCTTTTCAATGGAGGTGATAAAAATGGTCCCAGTGATTATAGTCTCACAACAGTAGTGGGAAACGTTTTTGAAAGTTTGATTAAAAATGCTTTTCAAAGTCATATAATCAAATTAACATTTTTGTTGGATTGTCAGCATGGTTCTACTATGAGAAAATCTTGCCTTACTAATCTTTTGGCATTTTTAGAAGAGGTTACTGTTTACACAGATGTGTATACAGGTGTGAATGTGGTGAATCTGGATTTTCCAAAAGTGTTTGACAAGGTGCCAAGCAAAAGGATTGTTAAAAAGTTATCCCTTTAGATGTGGGGGATAGGTTGGCTCATTTGATAAAAAACTGACTAGATGGACGAAAGCAGAGGGTTGTTATTGATGGAGTTCTGTCAAACTGGATTAATGTCATGAGTGGGGCACCTCAGGTCTCAGTGTTAGGACCTTTGATTTTTTGACTTACAATAATGGCATAGATGAAGGAATGATCAGTAGGTTTAAAATTGCTGATGACATTAAATTTTTGGGTGTTGCTGGCTGTAAGGATGAGTTGGGCAAGTAAATGGCAGATGGTTTTTAATTATAATAAGTGCAATGTAATATATGTAAGATATCAAAATTTGAATAATAAGTATAATTTTGATGAAAATAACCTTAACAGTCTCATTGAAGAAAATGACCTTGATGTTCTGGTTGATCAGTCTCTTAAGCCATCCAAGCAATGTGCTGTTGCTTGTGGCAGAGCAAATACAATTTTAGGTTGTATCTACAGAAATATTGAATACAAGTCTAAAGAGGTTATAATGTCATTCTATAGATCATTGATTAGACCACATTTGGAGTATTGTGTCAGTCTTGGGCTCCCTTCCTCAGAAAGGTTGTTGAATTGTTGGAAAGGATTCAGAGGAGGGTTACTAGAATGGTGCTTGGGATGGAGGGGTTGTCAGATGAGAAGAGATTAAGATCTCTGAAATTCTTTTCTCTTCAAAAAAAGAAGAGTTAAAGGGGATCTGATTGAAGTGTTTAAGATTGTTAAGGGAATGGATAATGTTGATCATCTTTTCATACTTAACAGTAAGAATAGTAGGACTAAGAGACACAAATATATATTTTGGCAGGGTAGGAGTGGCAGTGGATAGGACAACCTAGATGTACTAAAAGATCCCTAGCTGCCCTTTAATTGTATGTTATGTTAATCCAAATGACATTTCATAAATATTCTCAGTCATAAAGTATAAAGTAATATAAGCAGTATTTTTTAATCGTGCTTGAGTGAAATTTATAAACCGCTGATTATTTGCTATTGGTAGAAAGTTAACAAACAGTGATTTTTAAGCACGAGGTACTGTTTAATATCTTTTTTTTCTACAACAGATATCATTGTACTTACAAAGTTTTGTTTGTTGATTTACTGCTGTATTAGCATAGTGTAGGTCTCTGAACAATTAATTGGTTGTGATATTAATAATTTGGAACATTGTGGCACACTACATCCATACACAGCATTTATGTTATATGTAGATGTTACTAGTATCTTAAACTGTTTTAATCACTATACTTTTTATGAAATACAATCTATGAAACTTAGTATGTTGTCCAACTTAATACTGCAAATTAATATACTTACTGTAAGACAAAGAATTTTTTCTATTGACAGTGTTTTTTTGTTATCCATATTTTGATCATTAAATAGATAAGTGGGAGTAGTTTTTGAAACAATTCTTCCAAAACACACTTATCTCCTCTGACACTTTAGTTAGCTTATCCTTACAAAAAATTACTACAGGCAATACAGTGGTGTATAAAGGTTAGAGCAGGTGTGGTAAGATTCATACCAATGCTTAGATGGGCAGAGAAGAGAAATTGGATGGAATCACAAGATATTTTACATCAATGTGGCTCCTATACCAGATCCATGTATAACCTCTCCATTATTATTTCCTGTTCACTTTTCTCTAAGGCAGAATATTACAATTATGGCTTCTCTTATGTGTTCTGTAACTTTAGTTATACCTACACGTTGGACATTGTTTCCTGACCTGTCTCATTGGGTTTTGAGTTTATTGTTTATTTTCAGCAAAAAAATCCCTGCAAACTGATGTCTTGATGTATTTCCTGTCGGCTCAGAGGCTGAGCTTGCGGGGGATCACAGTCAGACTGTTGAGAATTTGAACTTTGCTCAGACAGCTACTTACGAGCCTTGGATGCACATCCTGCACCATCTTTGTACCTAGTACATCAAGTTTGTAAAAGTCCTTCAGCTGATTACCTAGTTTTCACCTTCACCAGATATTGCTGTGTGCACATCCTGCACCATTTTTGTACCTAGTACATCAAGTTTGTAACAGTCCTTCAGCTGATTACCTAGTTTTCACCTTCACCAGATATTGCTGTGTGCACATCCTGCACCATTTTTGTACCTAGTACATCAAGTTTGTAACAGTCCTTCAGCTGATTACCTAGTTTTCACCTTCACCAGATATTGCTGTGCATGCTTTGAGACGGTGCTGCCATGCCTTATCCTTCCCATTTATTCGATTAGCATGCCTTAGCTTTCCGTCACTTTGAGGAGCCATATTTAGATTCTCAGAGGTTAGATCTTTTCCCTATTTGGTGTTTTTATTCCCATTTGTTTGAAGTACCAAAGAAGACAGGTGATTGGCAACCTATCATCAACATTTTTCATCTCATTTGTTTCCTCCAGCCTCCTCAGTTTATCCTGGAGTCGTTTCTTTCCTTCTGGTGGCACTTTGCACCTGGTCTATGGATTGTACTATTACTATATCTCATTTTTGCTCATCTCTTTTATATGCAGATGCTTTCTGTATGGATCTTGCCCTCACTGGCCCCTACACCTTGTCAGTGTGGGATTCTAGGTAAAGTGTGAGAAGAGGTGTGTTTCAGAAGATAACATTTTACCATTACCAAAAATGTATTTCCAATAATACTTATTCCCCTCTCACACCCTTCATCCCCACAATACAGCCAGTTATGGATGTACTAAGTTGGACCATTTTGAAAAGTGAATAGGAAGTAATAACAGGGAGCTTATGTACTGATGTGTTATAAGTGGAGAGAATCACAAGATTTAAATTGCTTTGGGCAATATATTGGGGTATAAAGGCTGGAGTAAATGAGGTAAGATTCATACCAATGCAGAGAAGAGAAACTTTCATAGGGATAAAGTTAACTAAAGTGTGAGATGAGGTAAGTATTATTGGAAATACATTTATGGTATAGGAAAATGTTAGCTTTTGTTTCTTTTCACAGTGGCAATAATGACTTACTCTGTATGTTAATGTACAAAGCTTACAATATATCTATAACAACCCAGATAAACCTAAGTTTGTGAATATTCCTGAATATTTTAGTGGTAGTTCAATGCTGTTGCCTGTCACTTGGATTATTTCTAATAATAGTTTATTTACTGGTGAGTTCTATTTACATTATTCATCAGATGTACAAATATAACACAAAGTAATTTACTTTATCAGGTATCAGTTTGAAGTTACTGCTTAAGAGAAGTTAGCACCATTTCATATGAATTTATTTCTGTTTATTAAAACAATTTTTTGTTTTATTGACCAGAACCACTTGCTCCAAAGATAGATGGAATGGATAACATTGAGGTGAAGAAAGGTATGGTTGCTAAGTTTGAGGTCAAAACTTCAGGATATCCAGTGCCAGATATAAAATGGTATGGGTTGTTTGTTATTTTGTGTCATTTACAAATTAACAAGGTCTATTTTAAATTGATTTTTAGGCATAATTTATGTATTAGTTATACCGATTCAAAAATATTTATAGAATATTTATTAAGGTTTACAGATTGCGGTGTAATTTGTCATTCTTTAAAGAAACCAAATGATTTGATGAAAGAATTTGTTTAGCTTTATTAACTTTTTATTATTTATTTATTAGAATTTGATCTTAATAATATTGTTTTGTTTTAGTTTATGAACTAGTGTTGTTTTACACATAAAAAGAAATTTGATAAAATTATTTTTTGTAGATGTTTGACTTTCATTTCATGAAGCACAAATTTTACTGTATGAGATTTAGATGATGAATTTAAATGTAGGTTAAAAGCTGGGATACCAGTACAGTTCTCAGATCACATCATGATAACAAGTGATGATGAGAAGCGACTCTACACATTGTCAGTGCAAAGTGTCATGGAAGAGGATGTAGCAGTATACACATGTGTAGCATCCAATAGTGCAGGGAAGATCAGTAAGGATGCAAAAATTTCACTTAAAGGTGATTTACCAGAAATTTTGTATGTTACTAATATTTGATTCTTGGATCATTAATGACCGGATAATTCTGATCAAAAAAACTTCTTTTTCAATATTATTATATTGAAACCTACTAGATTTGCTTAAATTTAATGTATTTAATACTACATGCATAAAAGAAAGAATTGTTATCAACTTCAAACATGAAACATAAAAAGAAGCTAAAACTTCACATAATATAAATAGCCTTACTTATTAACATTTTCTCTTTAGGTAGTACAAGCTACATTTAGGTAAAAGCATTAAGTCCTATTGCAAGGTTAAAATGTGATTGTTAAGTGTATTTTCTTTTACATCGATTCTCACTGAAACATAAAAAGAAGCTAAAACTTCACATAACATAAATAGCCTTACTTATTAACATTTTCCCTTTAGGTAGTACAAGCTACATTTAGGTAAAAGCATTAAGTCCTATTGCAAGGTTAAAATGTGATTGTTAAGTGTATTTTCTTTTACATCGAACCTCACTCTAATTTAATGTATGATATTTTGCCATGTTTTGACTGAACTTCCAACTTATTTCCATTTTTGCTAAATCTTTGTTAAGCATATAGATTTTACTTTTTCATTTATATTAAACCTTTAACGTAACTTTGTTTTAGCTGAACCTCCAAGTTTTTTAAAAGATATGGTTGACATTGAAAGTGAGGAAGGTGGAGAAGTTGGATTTGAGGTCTGTGTAAGTGGATATCCTCAACCAGAAGTTGTATGGCAAGTATCAAATATCTTGTAATTCTTTACTGTTCAGAAAGTAGATTGTCAGGTTTTTATGTATGCATATGGATGTATGGGCAGGATTCTTTACACTAGGTGTCTGTGACTTGTTGGTGATAAGTTTCATCAATAAACATATTGCATACAATCCACTTGTTTAAGAATAATATATTCAAAGCAAGTCAAATGTATGCACAAAAATTTGTTACGCTATTGGTTACTGCAGTTGTATCCAGAACTTTAAATAATTGTCTCTTTTTTGTCAAAGTCTACACAGGTCAGTTCAATTACTTTAGAACACCCTTTGACAAGACAGAATATTCTCCTTTACTCTGTTGAAGAAAAATTAAAAATTTGTAATTACTAAAGCAGATAAAGGTGGCCAAGTTGTAATATTAGATAAAAGTATTTATGAAAACAAAATCAAAGAATGTTTAGAGGATGGTTCTTATTAACAAGTAATAAAGGACCATACCTCCTTGTAAAAACTGTGCTATTTTGACACTACAAGAAAGGAAAGACCTTGTCCCCTAAAGGTTCATTTTACCAAGATTATTTGCTCTACCTAAAACCCCAAAAAATTGGTACCCCCTTGTATTCAATATAGGTTGATCATTTTATCCTTTATCAAAATTTATTTGTCGAAAATGTTTGTTTTTAACGAAATCTCATGAATATACAGTAGCAAATTTGTTTGATTTTGTTAAACAATTTCGGGATAATTATAGAATTAAGTGATAAATTAGTTTCTTTTGACATTGTGTCTTTGTTTAAGAATGTTACAATTAAGGAGACACTGGATTGCTTGGAAAATATATTCCTGGAGAGTAAGAAATTTTCTCTGCTTGAGGTGAACAAAATTTTAAAGCTTACTCATGAGTGTGTGTCAAACTCATATTTTAAGGTGAGAAATATATGTTTGTAGTTCCCAAAAAGATGGGGGGCTGGCATCTGGTGATAGATATGTCTTGGCTTAACTGTTTCATAGACCTTCTCTATTTCATAACGGAGTCTTTTCTCACTCTACAGTTGGCTTTCACTCCAGGTCTATGGATTACCAAGTCAGATGCATATCTCACCATCTCTATTGCTCCACTTTCCAGAGAGTACCTTATGTTTGTCCACAGGGGTTGGGTTTATCAGTTTTGCACCTTGTCCTTTGGGCATAACACAGCACCTCATGTATTTTGTCAATCGAATAGTCTGGGCTTTTGCTCAACTACTCCATGCTTAGGTCTTGCATTTTCATCTTTATATGAATGAATCCATCCAAATTGGTAACACACAAACATATAGTTGCTTCTGAGAGAAGTAGCTCATGTCGGTTGGATCATCAAGGTGGAGAAGTCCATCCTTTCACCTACCCAATACCTTGTCCACTTGGGAGTCTTTTTTAACTCTACCTAAGTCAGGCCAGCCTTCTCTTTCTCATCTACAGTTGATGGAACTTTTAGTCTCCGAGGCCCTTATCTCTCCTACACTCACTGCATGTTAGACTCTTTCTCTTTTGGTGACATGGACATGGGAAGCTCTTATACCTTTATGTTATGCTTACATGCTTACCCTTCAATGGATGCTGCATGACCAATGGAACCTTGCCAGAGATCCGTTGGACTCCATTATCCATCTCCCACCTTCCTTCATAGTCGATTTTACATGTTGGCTAGACAAAGATAACACAACGGTGGGTGTTCCTCTTCTGTGCCCTTGTCCTCGTGCTTCTCTTACAGGTGGGGTGCGAGTTTGAAACACAGGGAGGTTTCGGGTCATTGGTCTCGTGTCAAGACAACCATGCATATTAATGTCCTCGAAGTACTGGCCATCCATTGGGCTTTTGATCATTTCATTTCCTATGTTCAAGGCATATCAGGCAAGATCCATTCTGACTATTCAACAGTTGTCTCATACATCAGTTGACACTGTGGCACCCATTTTATGTTCTTTCTGTTTCAAAATATTAGAATTACTTTTCAAGACATTCTTTTCAAACACACCTCATTGCGTGTCATGTTCCAGGTGCATTCAATCTGGTTGTGGATCATTTTTCTAATCCTAACCAGAACCTCCCCACGGAGTGGTCCCTAGTCCCTCAGGTTTTCAGATGGCTATGCACACAATGGGGAGTATTTAGACACATTTGCCATACATCAGAACATTAATTTGCCCCTGTTTTGTTCCCCTGTACCTCATCTCCTGGATTTGGCTGTAGATGCTGCCAGTCAAGCCTGGACCAACCTGTACCTATATGCCTACCCACTAATCTGTCTCCTACCTAGGGTGTTACCCATCATCCAATCCACTCTGTGTCGATTACTTCTGATAGCACTTTTCTGGCTGACACAGTCCTGGTTCCAAGTTCTCACCTTCCTCCAAGTGACGACCCCCTTACTTCTTCCTCTTTTGCCATCCCTCCTCTCTCAACCTCAGTGTACAGTTTCTCATCTTACACTCACCATACTCCATCTTCACTCATGATTTTTGTCTGCTCCCTTGCAAGGAGATCCGGACTATCCACACATGTAGCACCAATTTTGTCCCATTCCATTCATCCTTTCTCACTCATGGTTTATCAGAAAAAGTCACAGACCTTTCGCTATTAGTTATTGCACTGGAATTTCTTATCTGGCTGTTTGGTTATAACTCCACAGCAGGAAATCAAGCAGCCTTGTCCAATACATTCTGGTACCACAAAATGTTTTCCTCTCCCACCATTTCCCTTTTGTTGTGTTCGTTCAAGATCAGTCATCCTCCTCACTTTACATAATTGCCAGATTGGAATATTAATATTGTTCTCCACACCCTTACCCATCCTCGCTTTGAACCCTTAGCTACCTCTACCAATTTTCCTTTAAAACCTATTTCCTACTTCTCTTGGCCTGTGGTCATCAGAGGTCAGGCATCCTTGCCATCAATGTTTCATGTACTCTTTACCACCACATATATGTTCTCCTTTATCTTGATCATAGTTTCCTTCCATAGACATTGGTGGCTCTTGAGGGCAATTCCTCTTTTATACCAATTCCTACTCTCATTCAGATCTGAATAGACTTATATGCCCTGTTTGTGCTCTAAGTTGTTATGTCACCTGCATGGCTTCCTTTTGTGGTTCTCAATCCAGATTTTTCATCTCCTGGAACTCCTCCTCTCAATGAGGCCTTACACCTTTTATTCTTACAGGCTGGATTCTTCAATTTATTCAGTTGGTATATACATCCCTAACTCCACAGTCCCAACATCTTTTCCAGGTGTCATCACACTAGACTCAACATCTTACTTTTCCCCTGGCAACTCATCTTCATCATCCTTTGGAGGAGATAATCCAGTCTGTCCTGTGAACTACTCCTAACACATTCATCTCCCATTACCTATATCATGTGACTGTTTCTTCCTCATCTGCATACTATGTTCCATCTATTTCCATTCTCCATACAATGATTCAACTGTAAAGTTTCCTTTTCGCTCTCTCCTACAAGATTATGTCCCTTATATCCTGCTCAGTGGCTTATTGGCTTGCAGCCACAATATGTGCACTATACAGCCTATCACACATAGAATATATATTTATTACCAACTAGGGTACTCCCAGCACACCACCTCCAAGGAATCAGGACCCAGAGGTTGATGTAGCAAGGTGTTGGACCAGTCAATCTGTTGATTGGGGTGCCCCACCAGATCAAACTACTGGGGCTTGACTTGCCAGCCTATATACATATACCTCTCTCCAGTCCTATAGTAGACATTGCTGAGATGAGTGTTCCCCAAAACTGATAGTAGAATCACTTTGTGCTATATAGCGTCATAATAATGCCTATCCTAGACTGTACTAACTCATAGACTGTCATGAGTAAAGCAGAATAGGATTGCTGCTCATCCCTGCCATTCCTTCAATTGAATAAATCAAGAACAGTGTGCTTTTCACAATAGAATTACGATGGTCACCCATTGCACAGCCTCCAGTGTAGCATTCCTCTGGACTCCCCACCATGTTTTCCCCCAATTTCTGCAAGTGGAGTATGGAATTCCTTACCATTTACTAGTTCCTAGCCACTGGGGTGGTGGACCATAGAGGCTTCCTCCTGAATGTGCTCAATCCCATTCATTTT